GCAAAAGTACCAGCTGCTCCGCGGGAGAAAGATGAGGCTTTCTACTCCCGTAAAGATTTACACCCTCGGAAACCCTGTACAGGGTCGCTATGAGTCGGTTCCAACTCCACGGCACATAACAACAACAACAGAGAGCAAAAGGGACAGGTAGTAAGTGGGGATTTCTTGGACAAAACCATGCTCCTCCATGAATTCAGGTTAGTAATGTTGGGCTATTGGCTGATTTTTAAACATTCTGTTCTACTGGAAACAGCTGGGACAGCAAGGAAGCTGTTCTGTCCTACAAAACCCAATTAGGCCCGAAGAAAGAGGCCATGAAATGATTCTGTGTTTCTTCATAGAGAAGATAATGCTGTGGTACGTTCCACTTGGAAATGAATTCTAAACATAAACTTTTAGGTCAGTCTTTGTGCAGTTTCTTGGTCAGCTAAATACAATAATACATTAAGCTCTCAGCAACTGTAGACCTTGGTCCCTGCTCAAAATCCAAACAGATTTTCAGAATCTGATCATTTTTGTCTTAGCGATTGCTCTGCAAGTAAACAGCAGGAGGTTGGCTCTTGTCTTGGAGTGAAACAGAACTTGACTGCTCACTTCCTGCTAACCCTTCCTTCTACTAACAGTCTGTACATGCTGGATGCTTCATGGCCTTCTCACAACAGCAACAATATGGGAGAAGCCAGTGGCCAACATGGTTCTATTATCCCGACAGGTATTTGTCTGTCAACGGTAATATAGTCAGGGTTCTACAGCTATAATGCTAACAGAGATCTACTTTCAAACTGAGCTGCAAAGAAAACACTTCCCATAACCTGTCATCAAAAACATCTTTTCAAACGAATCGTGAGCATTTCTCTCTCTTCTGAACTCTCACAGTACCCCACTGAGGTCTCTTTTATAGTATTTTTCATCCCTTTCTCCTTTGCACTACAGTTGTTTCAGGCTTTGAATTCCTAAGGGTTGCTTACTGTTTCTCTTATACCAGTCTCTTGAGCTCTTATATGCCAACCATTGAAACTCAATGAATTCTTGCTGCATGGTTGTTGTTTTTTTTTAAATAACAACAAACATGAATATCTATCTGCGAGAACAGAAGCTCAAAAAAAGCAGGGATCTTTGTCTGTTTTGTTTATTGATGTGACTCTCATGTGCCTAGAAAGTTCCTGGCACATAGCTGGCACTTGATAAATATTTGTTGAATGAATAGATAAATAATGTGTTGATTTTCCAAAGAGTTAGGGCAGTATTTATCTGGTCAATAAAGAAGAGAAAAAATTTTACATATTATGTGAAGAAGAGAAAGCAGATTGGTAAATTTTTTATACCAGAGGCTGGAACATTTTTTTCTGTAAAAGCTCAGATAGTTAATTATTTTAGGCTTTGTGAGCCACAAAGGCTGTTACAATTACTCAGCTCTAATGTTGAATGTGAAAACAACAGTAAACAATAAGAGAATGACTAAGTATGAGAATTAACTTTATTTACAAATGTAAGTTGTGGGCAAGATTTGGCCGGTTGGGCTGTAGTTTGAACACCCTTCTAGAACAACCATGCAAGGATTATCTATTAAGATTAAGACTGCCAGATAACTATTCTCTTCTTGAAAATCATGCCTTCTATGTTTTTACAGGAGTCCTACTGTGGCGCTGTGGGTTAACGCACCAGACTGCAAAGCCATTTGAACTGCAAGGTTGGTGGTTCAAGCTCACCAGCTGCTCCTTGGAAACCCTATACAGGGTTGCTATGGGTTGGAACCGACTCAACGGCTCTTAACAACATCTTTATATGCTCCCTCCTTCACTCCCCACCCAAGCTAGGTAGTACACTTTGCAATATTGTATCTACTCAGTATATATCAGTATATATTTGCTGAATTAAACTAAGCTCTGTACTGACTAAATTCCTGGAAAGGTAGTTTTCAGCAGGACCAGAGGACTCAAGTCTCTGCGGTGGAATGTTATTTGATTACTTGTCCTAGCAAAATGTGAGAGAAGTTTGGAGCAGCTGAGATAATGTCTTCCAAAATTAACTGAACTAATGGAGCACATTCTCTCTTGATAGAAATAGTCTTAACGCCTCTTACTTGAAGCAGTTTCTTTAGGAAGCGAATGATTAACGGAGGTAGCTCTTCCAATTACCCAAGAAGCCAAGAAATCATTAACATAACTTTCTCACTACCAATCTGAGATCATTCTTTGTTTGAAGATGAATCCCCCTTCTATAGGTCTTGTTTTCATAAAAAAATCTTATGAGTCAAAGACCTCTAGAATCGGTATTTGCAAAATGTGCTCTCACATTTTTCTCTCCAATGACTTAAAAAAACAAAGTCATTATACCTCTCAGTTTTGTATGTTGATATTGTTGTTGTGTGGTATTGAAATGGTTCTGACTCACAGTGACCTTCTATAGGGTTTCAAAGACTGGCTAATAGATTTCAACTGTTGATCTTACAGTTAGCAGTTCAGTGCTTATCCTACAATGTCAAGCCAGGGCGGTTTTGTGACCCTTTCCTATATGTTTGCTATCTATTTTCATAAACATTAAACTTATTTTTTAGTTTACCAAGAGTTAGTGTCTCTTTTGAACCAGGCATGATTTCCTCTTCAGCTGCAAATGCAATTTTAAAAAGCAATCCATTGAGGGTTACTTGTGGAACATGTTAAACATTCACAGCTTTGCCATATGCTGTTAGAGAAACTGCACTGATTTACAGAAATTAGGTGTCACTAGACACCATCGAAGCATCTCTAGCCAAATCTAACTTTATGGAAGCAAGTCTTTGGACTTGTTCAAAATGGTTGTCAACGTAGACTGAAACCACCAAGGTAGCATATACGTTACATAGCAACCCTATCTCTTGCCCATGAAATTTTGATCCAAGCAGGAAACATGTATCAGTGCCCTACTCAAAGACGGTGGCCAACCATGCTGCTTTGAATGTGGTTGCTATGTAATGCCTGAGCTGGGTTCAGAGATGGTGGTTCCACATGCAAAGGCACAAAACACTGCCCAGTCTTGTGCCATCCACAAGATCTGTTGAACTGGATGGTTGCGATCCACAGGACTTGTATTTCCTAAAGTTTTTAAAGTAAATCTCCAATCAGTTCTTTGTACCTATATTAGTCTGAAAGTTCCATTAGTAACTGTTTAGCATCACAGAAACATGCAAACCTCCAATGACAAAAGGGTTGGGGGATACACATGGATTTGAGAAAATTATTCAGGAAGTTACATATCGCCATGTGAGATTACAAAGTCACTACTATTTTCTACTATAGTCTATATACTAATGCAATAATACCAATCTATAAAAAACAAAAGTAAAAAGGTACAGAGTCAGAGATGCTCTCTTCACAGTGTGGGATCAATAACTTGGACCGCTTGTGCTGACTTTGTTGGGGATAGGGAAATGGAGTGTTTGTTTTACATATGCTACGAAGAGCCTGTAGAAAGAAACACTCACTGTCTATTCACTGGGCATTCTAGCCAATTACATTCAGAGGGGAAAAGAAGCTTCTTAAAAATAATCATATTTGGATATAATAAATCACTATCTACAGTGTAACGAATACTCGTACATACTGAAGTTAGTAAAAATACAAAAACAGTCAGAAAAGTCAGTAGCTTTCTTTTCTTTACACTGACTTGGTGTCTACATTTCAATATAGATGAATTCTCTCTTAGCCAGTGCTCTTAACCAGGGGTAGTTTTGCCTTTCAGGGAAGACTGGACACTTGGAAATGACTAGAGACATTTTTGGATGTTAAAATTTGGGGACAGGAGTGCTACTGGCGTCCATAGTGTAGAGGGTACAGATATTGCTAAATATCCTACTATACACAGGGCAGCCTCACAACAAAGAATAACTGGCTCAAAATGTCAATAATGCTGAGATTGAGACACACTGCTTGAAGCCAGGAACTACACAGAGTCAAATGGATTTAAGATCAACATGCCACAGGCTGATACTGGGCAGCCTATAGGTGATGGTAAGTTTTTTATCAATATAGTCAAACCTTCCCAGTCTCCTACGTAGGTTCAGTGTTAATGGGCCATAACTGATGTATTAGCATGAAACGCACATGTTCAGAAAAAGAACGATCAAATATACCAGGACGATAGTTTACAAAAGACTATAGATGGTTTATGGAGTCCTGGTGTGGTGCTATGTGTTAATGCTTTGGGCTGCAAAGTTGGTTTGAACTTCAAAGTCGGTAGTTCAAGTTCACCAGATGTTCCTCGAAAACCCTATACAGGGTTGCTATGGGTTGGAACCAACTTGACGGCACTTAATAACAACAACAACATAGGTGGTTTATAGGAATCCCTGAATGATGTATGTGGTTAAAGTGCTTGGTTACTAAGTTGAAAGTTTGTGTTCACCCAGAGGTGCCCTGGAAGAAAATTCTGGTGATTTAGTCACAAGAAATTAGCCACTGAAAACCCTATGTAGCACTGTTTTACTCTAACACATAAGGGGTATCCATGAATTGAAACCAACTTAATAACAATAATTTTTTTTTTTTTAATGTGGGACTTGATCTACTGGGAACTTCAATATGAAGAGTACCTGAACTTGTGCATAAAGAAAGGCAACTATCTACCCTATAGTTCTGCCCAACCAAGTGGGGTTTTCCTGCTCAAGACTTCTTAAGCAATCTCAAAAAAGTTAAAGGCACAGTCTTTAGTTTTTATTTCTCTGCATGGTATTGAAGAATAAATGCAGTACTGCATGGTTAGTTTGAACCACAAGGTCAGCAGTTCAAGCCCACCAGTCACTCCTGGGAAACCCTAGACAGGGTTACAAATCAATTCGATTTGATGGCACTTAACAACAACAACAACTCCCACAACATTGAAAATCTATTCCATACATTAAGAAAAATCTTTTCTTTTACCAGTGCCTTTACATGAATACTGAAGGGGCTGCTTAGGAGGAGGTTGTAGCCATAAATGTGGGTAATGTTCAAAGACTAAAAATGTATAAAAAAGGACCTTACTTTGAAGCTTTTGATTCTGTACTTGGCATCATCTCGGCAACGCAGCTGAAGAGACTCTCTCTGCACTTTGTATTTAGAATATCTCCCATCACTTCTTTCAGATAAGCCACAGGAATCCTACAAAAACAAAAGGTCTGAATTGTAGAGGAAAGAAATAGCACTGCTAGAAGCTAGAGTAAAAATGTATTGCTATGTAGATAATAACCAATTATAGACATCTAGAGCTCTGGTAGCGTAGTGGTTACGAATCGGGCTGCGAACCTTAAGGTCAGCGGTTCGAAACTACCAGCCGCTCTGCGGGAGAAAGATGAGGCTTTCTACTCCCGTAAGGATTTACACCCTCGGAAACCCTGTACAGGGTCGCTATGGGTCGGAACCGACTTGACGGCACTTAACAACAACAATAAGAGCTATATAGGGGGATCATAGTACCCCAAGGAAAAAGAAAATGGTCATTTGGGATGCTACCAAAGAAATAAAAATGAGGTTCCACATATCTGCATTCTTTTCAAGACTACTCACAGTCAGGCTGAAATGACGGCCATCTTTAGTTGAAGGGAATAAGGTTTCCATAAAAATGAGTTGTCCAAAGGTATTCTGCCACTTTTGGATGCTACATATGGTGCCTTGGCTAATACAAAATATATTCTCCTTGTTACCTTTAAAACTGGTGTCCTTTTGTTTCACTAATCATCAGGGAATAGCCTACTGTTTAATGATGCATTGCATAGGTTTTAAGCTTAGAGATTGCTCATCTTCCCTTGTAAGAATAAAATTTATGTAAACAAGTTTTTAAAAAGCACACATTTCAAGAGTCTTTTTCTTTTTTTTCTTCTATTATTTGGTCAGGATGGAACACAGAAATCAGTCATTATACCCAATAATTGGACATTTCTAGTATGAATTAGGGAAAAATTGGATAACAATCAGGGTGACTGACTTTAGAATGTAAGAAGAATCACCTGTGGGATTTAGTCTCCCCAAATAATCACAAGGAACCTTAAACCTACTGAATGTTTAAGCTGAAAGGGGTATTAGAATTTTGGAACACACTCATTTTTATAAGAAAATTAAAGTCCATGGATACTAAAAATGATTTGCTGAAGGCTAGACAATTTTTGATAGTTTAGTTTGAATTTCAAACCATTTCCTTTTCACCTTATCAAATACGTAAGTTTAGATGTGGAACTGGAGAGTTGAACCACTTCTTTTAAACCCAGGCAGAAAAAAACAAATACAGAATACGACCACATTTAAATATGAATAAAGTCAGGATTCACTCTAGGGGACCTAACAACATGATCAGATAGGATGAGGTTTACATTCACAGAGTCGTAGGCTATGGTCCTACCAGGAATTATGTTTGTGAAATGTGTTTTTAATGTACAAGCTATTGATGCCTGTGAGAAGCAACTATAGAAATACTATAGTTCAAATCCCTCATTTTACAGATGTGGAAAAAGCCTCTGAGATATTAAGTGATTTGTCTGGTACCAAGTATAATATAAATGACTTAGCTATAGCCTGCCATATATCACGTACAGAATACTTACTAATTACCTCTTTTCTCTTTCAAGCTAAATAAAACTTACTTTTTAAATAACTAATAATGAAAAGTACAATTCTGAATGCTGAGGAATATGTTCCCTAGAAATTTCATTATATCACGCATCTCTGCTAGTTACTGTATAACTGTTGCTGTTGTTAGGTGAAGTTAAGTGAGTTTCAACTCACAGCAATTCTATTTACAACAGAATGAAACACTGCCCAGTCCCAAGCATAACTGCTGTTATGTTTAAGCCCATTCTTTCTTTATCAATCCATCTACTTGGGGGTGTTCCTCTTTTTCATTGACCATCCACTTTCCTAAGCATGATGCTGTTCTCCTGACAATATGTTCAAAGTCGGAGAGACAAAGTCCTACCATCATTGCTTGTAAGGAACAATGTGGCCGTACTTTGTTCAAAACTGGTTTGTTCATTCTTCTGGAAGTCCTTGCTATTTTTAACATTCTTCACCAACACAATAATTCAAATGCATCAATTCTTTTTAGGCCTTCCTTATTCACTGTCCAACTGTCATGGCATA